ATTTACGATCGTAATACGGAGCCATGTAATACGGCCAAATACGGCGATTTACCGTCGTATACGGCAGAAAACGGCCGTATACGGCCCGTATTTCACCGTATACGGACGTCGTAACGCTCGTCCTGGGTACTGAACAAAATTCGCATGCTTTTTTCTCAAGAACTTTTCAAAAATGGATCTATCGAATGGTGAGACCAAATCGAAATTTATAATTTCGAAGCACTGAGGTGTGGGCGATGATCTGGCGAATTCTCTCTTGAAGGCTTTTCAGTTAATACTTCTATCGTCACATATTCATCGATAAAGACATGCTTTCAGGTAAGTCAAACCTTATGCTTTATTTACTCCTCATCTCATCAAGAATCAAAACGTATCAGTAGATGCCTACGAATTCTATGTTTTGTCTTCTTGGTAGAGTACATGTTGATGAAAAAAAGCAAGAACAAGATGAAGATCGCTACCTTATCACACATCACATTATCATCTTGTAAAAGGTGTATGAATGATAATGTCTCTTCAGATTGTCATTTAGGCGCGTTCTAGCCCGATTTCAAGATACATTGAATGTCGCTCGAACAAGGTAGCTGATGCAGAAAGCCTCTTTCTTCTCATCAACAAGGCATCTTTTCAAAATCTTTGCAGATATAAACGGAAAGGTTTCGAAAATTGATAGGAGAACGTTGATGAAATACACACTCTAATGGAGAAAGGCATTTTTCTACTGCTTGGTGTGTCTGATCACGAGCAATCAACAATTCTCAAGAACAGCTGTTCAATAGTTGCATGTGTCTGTATGCATCATTCAACTACTGATGAGTTAACAAAGGAGACAGTTGATAATAAACAGTCGGTCAAAATCAACATGTTAGTTATACATCCAGAAATGTTCAGACGTGGTATTGCTCGATACATGATGTAAATTGTTGACGCTGTGGCAAAACAATTTTGTTTTACGCATGTTTTTCTTCCAGTAGTTTCATTAAGTCAGTATTTAATCGATATGTACACCAAGTGGGGTTTCCACATCATTGCAACCAACACTTTCGTTGAGTATGGCATTGACTCAGAACGGTTTTCTCTTCCTTGTCATATGATTATTATGAAAAAGGAATTGTTATAACTATCCATATGTGATGATGAAGACTGATGCTTTTTGTACAGCCTTAAGTTAAATTGAACTCTACATGAAATATATTTCGACCATTAGCATTCTATAGTGAATTCCATTTGTACTGTATTAATCAAGAACCGAAAACAAAACTGCTTTATATTGCAATATCGAATATGTGAAATACGTGTTGAATAATTTTATTTTGCTATTATTTCATATTATTCGTTCAAAGTAATTTCTCGGTACGATTAATGTGAACTATGATTTTATTTTGCTCATAAAATTGATGGAATATTCTTAAGGTTTTTTTTGTTGATTTTGAAAATCTAATATGAAGGGAAAAGGATTTATTTAGAACAATCAAAATTGATAAAGAAAAAGCACTCATAAACTATTGAAAATTTGTTTGATCTACAGAATAAAATATTTACTGCTGTGTTTTGTCAATTGCTAGTGTTTGAGATTGTCGATTTCTAATATGTTTGTCAAGTATTTACGAGAATATGAATATGAATCTGAGTCACAATATGCAATTGAGTAGACATCAACTAAGATATTCTTTTAGAAAATTGAAGTATGAATATTGTAACGGTTTTAGATAGAAGAGATGTCTGTGCTGATGGTATTACACTTTATTTAACTCTTCAAATCATAAATCGCATCGATTGCATATAAAGCACACGCTTAAATACTCAACCAATTGAAAGAATGAAGAAGGATGATAGATAAAGACAATTATAAAAGACAGAAAGATAGAGGCAATAGGTGTGATGAGAATAGATGGCACCATAAGGTCAAACATTATGTATAGGTTACATTCGAACGAGAGTGTTACACCCCCGGATGGAATTTGGACACTCTCCGCATATAACGTTACAAATATAAATACAGCTATAACTAGTCTATCTTTTTTAAATAATATTTTGGGAAACCTCATTTCTATAAACACGGCTCAGAAATTCCCATATGTAGTAAGCGTGAATTCTATTATTAACTTAATAGAAATATTGAACCAGAAAAACTATCAGGCAAATACATTCTTTATGATCTCTGCTTTCAAAAACAAATTATACTAGTAGTATAGCCTGAACATGACTAGATTTAACTAAGTCCAACCACTATGCTGAAAACAATAATGGTCACATTACCGAACTTCAAAGAGTTTCGTAGACAAAAGAAAGGTTTGCGTACAATATGCGAAACCTTTAAAAAGGATTTCTCAAGCGATGCCAATCATTTTGAAGAGATCAAAGATTTCTATGAAACCACTTCGAGTGTTTAGAATTTGTTACAAAAAAGGATCGGTATAATACTTATTTTTTTTCCATGCAACGGAAATACTTATTTCATCGTGAAACAAAATCCACACGAGCATACTAAACTCAGAACTGCATTTCATTTAATAATATCTTGAAAAATAAATTTAGTGTCTTTCATGTAACGCACTTATCTTAAGGATATTTAGATCGCAGTGATCTCTATGCAAAATTATTATCCGTAGAATGCTTTATTGAGTGTCTTTTATAACTCTAAAATATTAGAAATGAAAAATAATATAAATGAGTGTACAACATATCTTCATTCTACTTTCTATTTAGTTTCATCATTGCCATTTTATAATTTGCTTTTTTACGTGCCAATCAATCAATGTTTTGCTATATTTTTTGCTAAAGACGAGAATAAGTACTATGTTAAGTATTCATGCTATCATCGGCCAATAAAATTTTAGAGAAACAATTCACATGAGTACTTGTTCGAGTACTCTTACTGGAAATAATTGACTACATAATTAATTATGCCTTATTTCTTGTAATAGAGAGTTTAAACTTATGGATTTGAAGCTATAAGGGTACCATACATAGATGATTCTTGGTCATTTGTATTTTATTTTTATCCACACGTCCAGTTAGATTTGATGATCAGTGTGGATGCGGGTGTGTAACAATTATAACACCCACACCCACACCCTCAATCCTTCTCCACCCATGGTGTTGCCTCTAAATCTCCCTCCACCTTCCATACCTTTAAGATAGATTTACAGCCTATAGCTGAAGATTTCGAAAAAAACTACTATTCATACCTCTTCTTTCTTCTTTATGACGGTGTTCGTGTTCATTCATACTGTTGCTTGATTTGTAGTGTTGCTTGTCGAGTTTTTATTGATTTGTTTCTCATAGCAAGGATATTTGAGTTATTTTATAGTATAAAATATATGATGATTGGACATAATTTACATTTCGATGAAAAAAAGCAAATTATACCATCATATATCGAACGACTCATTTTTTATCAATTGCAATCGCAAGAAAAATATGCTATAAGCCATAAGTACAAAGGAGTAATATATAGTCGCGAAAATAAATGCACATAATTCCTTTTTAATAACGAATGGCGTAGGATCATTATATTTTTACTTCGACCGATTCAGATTTCAGCATGAAATTGATTGTGTTTGACGATGTTGTTGTGATAAGCAATAATTGAATAAAATTATGACTATAAGTATGACATTTTCTAAGTAAAACACTTTGAAAAAGTACATTTGAAGTTAAAAATAGTTTGGTTCGGTTGTCGTTTAACTGCATGCATCATATTGCAGAAATGAAATTAACTTCAAGATATTGCTTATCGTACGTAGTTCTGGTCTATGAAACTGGAAAGAAGTTTGACATGCAGCCACAACATCATGAAATGTCTGAATATTATGTTGTTTATTTTCCGTTCCTCCTTTCTATATAGTTCATGTTTATTT